CCTTTCTAACATCTCTTACTGGATAAAGCCCTTGTGGTTTAGCACTTCTTTTTTATTAATAATAATAATCTTACTGGATAATCACTCAGCATCCTTCTCCTAGGGTACGGTTTTACACACCGGAGTACATTCCATATTGTTCTTGCCTACACCTTAAGTTCTTACTCTGGTCTCCTGTGGGGTATACAGGTCCTCCATCACAAATCCGGCATCATTGGGACCTGTAGTGTGCCGGATTACTGAGTTTGCCGAATTAGAGTGGTTAGGTTAGAATACACTTAATAAAATTAACCAACTCGACTTACACAGTTCATTGAACATTGGCAAAAATCGAACATTTCCGCTACTTTGAGCTCAATTTCAAGGTACTTTTCGTCATGAAAGCAATCAAAATCATGTCTATTTCTGTAATATATCTTCCATTCTATCAAATGAGTCCAAAAAATGAGAATACAACCATAAAAACCATACAAAAATATACTACAAAGAGGCGGCTAATGGCTGAGAAGTGAACTCCCTTATTTATCGTCCGTCTTTTTTATTTTTGTTGTACGTTAAGAAACATCTTTCCATCATACATTGCCCAAGTTTCAATGAGATAGCCCAACAAACAACCGACAAAAAAAAATATTTACCAAAAATCATATATGGCAAGCCCAAGCTAGGTACTGGAAATAAGTCACTTTGTCTGACTTTTCTGGGTTATCCTAGGTTCTCTATACATACACTATGTATGATAATCTATGTAACTGTATTTGTGTATACCTGAATAAACTTATTTACTTCTAGTCTGTCAACTGAGTACAAGAAACTGCCCATTCACTTATTTCAACTACCCAATAAAGTGGTCAGAAATTGGCAATTTGGCCGATTTCACACAAATTTCAACAGATGCCAATTTCAAAATAGGATCCAGAATAAACAATGTAGACATTCCTGGCAATAAAATACATTTTCTCTGTTCATTAGTCACGGCTACAGGCCCCTCTTATATTACTCTTGCTTACCATTTAGAATTTTTATTCACAAAAAAAAAATAAAAGATTTACTGTTATGCAGACTACTGCATTATTGTAATAATTGTAATAATGTCAATCCATTCTTGACTCCGTACTGGAATTTGGACTGGCAGGTGGACAGATATTGGACGGGGACGTCATTTGTTTACTCTTGAGCTTCACTAAAGAATAGAACATTTTCGCTACTGTGAGCGCAATTTCAAGGTACTTTTCATCATGAAAGCAATCAAAATCATATCTATTTCTGTAATATATCTTTCATTCTATCAAATGAGACTGAAAAAATGAGAATATAACCATAACAACCATACAAAAATATACCGCTAAGCGGCTGCTAATGGCTGAGAAGTGAACTCCGCTATTAATGGTCTGATTTCTTTCATTTTTGGTGTACGTGAAGTATCTTTCAATCATACATTGCCCAAGTTTGAATAAGATAACCCAACAAACAACTGAGAAAATAATAATAATAGTAATATAATAATAATAATAATAATAATAATAATAATAAAAGTATGAGTGTACCTGGTAAAGTGTATGGTAGAGTTATAATTGAAAGAATTAAGAGTAAGACGGAGAATAGGATAGCAGATGAACAAGGAGGCTTTAGGAAAGGTAGGGGGTGTGTGGACCAGGTGTTTACAGTGAAACATATAAGTGAACAGTATTTAGATAAGGCTAAAGAGGTCTTTGTGGCATTTATGGATTTGGAAAAGGCGTATGACAGGGTGGATAGGGGGGCAATGTGGCAGATGTTGCAAGTGTATGGTGTAGGAGGTAGGTTACTGAAAGCAGTGAAGAGTTTTTACGAGGATAGTGAGGCTCAAGTTAGAGTATGTAGGAAAGAGGGAAATTTTTTCCCAGTAAAAGTAGGCCTTAGACAAGGATGTGTGATGTCACCGTGGTTGTTTAATATATTTATAGATGGGGTTGTAAGAGAAGTAAATGCGAGGGTCTTGGCAAGAGGCGTGGAGTTAAAAGATAAAGAATCACACACAAAGTGGGAGTTGTCACAGCTGCTCTTTGCTGATGACACTGTGCTCTTGGGAGATTCTGAAGAGAAGTTGCAGAGATTGGTGGATGAATTTGGTAGGGTGTGCAAAAGAAGAAAATTAAAGGTGAATACAGGAAAGAGTAAGGTTATGAGGATAACAAAAAGATTAGGTGATGAAAGATTGAATATCAGATTGGAGGGAGAGAGTATGGAGGAGGTGAACGTATTCAGATATTTGGGAGTGGACGTGTCAGCGGATGGGTCTATGAAAGATGAGGTGAATCATAGAATTGATGAGGGAAAAAGAGTGAGTGGTGCACTAGGAGTCTGTGGAGACAAAGAACTTTGTCCTTGGAGGCAAAGAGGGGAATGTATGAGAGTATAGTTTTACCAACGCTCTTATATGGGTGTGAAGCGTGGGTGATGAATGTTGCAGCGAGGAGAAGGCTGGAGGCAGTGGAGATGTCATGTCTGAGGGCAATGTGTGGTGTGAATATAATGCAGAGAATTCGTAGTTTGGAAGTTAGGAGGAGGTGCGGGATTACCAAAACTGTTGTCCAGAGGGCTGAGGAAGGGTTGTTGAGGTGGTTCGGACATGTAGAGAGAATGGAGCGAAACAGAATGACTTCAAGAGTGTATCAGTCTGTAGTGGAAGGAAGGCGGGGTAGGGGTCGGCCTAGGAAGGGTTGGAGGGAGGGGGTAAAGGAGGTTTTGTGTGCGAGGGGCTTGGACTTCCAGCAGGCATGCTTGAGCGTGTTTGATAGGAGTGAATGGAGACAAATGGTTTTTAATACTTGACGTGCTGTTGGAGTGTGAGCAAAGTAACATTTATGAAGGGATTCAGGGAAACCGGCAGGCCGGACTTGAGTCCTGGAGATGGGAAGTACAGTGCCTGCACTCTGAAGGAGGGGTGTTAATGTTGCAGTTTAAAAACTGTAGTGTAAAGCACCCTTCTGGCAAGACAGTGATGGAGTGAATGATGGTGAAAGTTTTTCTTTTTCGGGCCACCCTGCCTTGGTGGGAATCGGCCGGTGTGATAATAAAAAAAAATAAAAATAATATCTTTATTTACTACACGTACATGTACAAGGTATACAGGCCTAGCTGACATCAGTGACAGACTACTGTATAGAAAGGCACTTGTTATGCTGAGTATTTCAAGAAAATTAGGTCAGTGTCCCAGGATAACACCCACACTAGTCGACTAACACCCAGGTACCCATTTACTGATGGGTAAACATAGACAACAGGTGTAAAGAAACACGCCTAATGTTTCTACCCTGGCTGGGAATCGAATATTTACCAAAAATCATATATGGCTAACCCAAGCCAGGTACTAAAAATAAGCCACATTGACTTTTTTGGGGTTATCTCTGCTGCTATGTGTGATAATCTATAGAGAGAAAATAACTTTTTTGTTTCATGTTTATGGTGGAGTACGAGTGTATATCATAGTTAGCCCTGTGCTTCACTCCGTTTTCTCTAATATAAGCCACCAAGACAAGGATAGGAGAATGGTATTTGTTTACCATATCCTCTTCATAACTCTGTTGAACTGCTCGGTCTTATGACAAATATTATTCATTCTGGAGTATTTAACATGTTTTATGTTATTTATATTGTTTATTATGTCATATTAGATCAATTGTGATAGGCAAATAAGCTGTAGTGTTGATATTAGCGTAATAATAAAGCATATTCTCCTGCTTCATGAGACCGAGTTCATGACAACCAACAGTGGCTTCAAAGCCACCTTATCTTTAATGGATAATGTACTGTGTAGGTGCTTTACATAATGAGAAGCATTTCTTTTATTCTTGGAACCATGGCTAGGGCTAAAAGTAAGCAAGTTAAAACAATAAATGGAGAAAAAGAAATTGGAATGACTTGTGCATCAAGTAGCGCCACCAAACAGTACCAGTAGGTTGGTGTGGCGACCCTGGAAATTTTAAATTAAGCTAGCCAAAATTAGTGCCGAATAACTGATTGCCGGATTTGTGATGGCGGACCTGTAGTATCAAATACCTTCTTGCAGTCTGAGAAAATGGAATACACCCATCCCTCTCTTCTATTTCACTTCAATTACATTCTCATAGAATTCCAAGAGGTTGGTAAGACAAAATTTGTGTGAACCTCACTGATTGTGTCATGAGTCAATTTTTAACACACAGGGAAAAATACTGGTAGGAATACAGTTGCCACATACAAAGACACCACTTAAAATATAAGTTTTGTAAAAAAAAATCTTTACCTTCTAAAAGCATAAATGAATAATTGTATAATCTTGGTTACCAAGATTATACTATTATTTAGACTTGTGGTGCTTGACAGACAGAGTATTGCATAAGAATTATGCTGTTTTTCCTTTCTCTTTATATCTGAATTACATTATTTACATACTCTAGATAGATTTTATGCAGAGGAAACATTTGGAGAGAAGTCTTGGAAATCAAAATAAAAGCTTTGTATGATGCCTCATGCCATCAGTAAACAGTGATTTCAATAATGAGGATTACAGACAAGTAGTGGCATTTATGTTCTAAGAGCACACTTACGATTTATGTTTCAATCTCGACAACGGTATTGAGGGTTGTATACAAGTACTCTTGGCTATCAGTCGAGCCATGAAAAATTTTTCAGGTTGGTAGCTTTAGAAGGATACTGTGCAAGATGTATTGATATGTAGCTTTACATTCTTAATTTCTAGGTGAGATTCAATAACAAGCTATTAGCTTAATATTATATACAGGTAGGTGATACCTATGTCATACAAACACATTTCTAGTTACTGAAGTTATACTTTTTCATAGTTTAACACAAGGCATGTTTTATCCCAAATCAAATGTTTCTGCAGTTTTACATATTAATCCCTCACACTTATAATGAGAGAACTGAGTTTACCAGAAATTGAGCACTAGTAGTTGATGTGACTAACCTACATAGAAGTTTTAGTGGCCTACAGTTGACACTTCACCTCCCATTCTCAGTGAAAACCTGCCACAGCTACCCCCCCGAGCCTATTGTTCATCATCATCATGTGTTGAGTGGCAGTCATAGGCCTACAGATACTCATCTTCTATCAACTTCATTGCAAGTTCAGCAGTTGCTGCAAATGTATTACATCAAATATGTGAAACAGTCTGCTGTGGAAACAGTTTGTTAGTATAAAATGTTGAAGAAAAAACGAACATGAAGCAGTACTGTATGTATATATACTCTATATGTATTAAATACGGCAAGATTGCTATTCATTATTGCTATACAAGATTACTATTCATTTTTAGCAAACATGAAACAACAAAATGAAGATTAATTTTCTCTTTCAAACTTAAGACAGTGATGGAAGTTTAATGAGCAGTAAATGAAGTGGAGAACTTTTTACTTATTATTATTATTTTAATTTTTATTATTCTTGTTTACCCATGATTTTTGCAGACCTCTATCTTTCCATGTTTGTATGTGTGATACTCTATGTGCAGGTAATATTCTGTCCTACAGTTAGTAATTCATTGCTTCATTTTCCAAAAAAGTATTGTAATTACAGTATCCCAAACATTTTATTTTGGCATTTCTATAAATGCCAAGGATATATTAAAATAGTCTTCTGGTTACTGTACCAGAGACACAGCTGTTGTCTATTATTGCATATATAGAGCTGGTCACTGATTTATTTAAGGGCAAATTTCCTTAGCCATATTGAAGCCATTTCACTTGGAAAGTATTCCAAGTTGGTTATTAGTATGATTTAGACAGTGCCTTTGAATAAATGGATTATTTTTTATTGTGTAACATCTAATAATTACTGTAATATATTTTGGACATGTCATTTGCAAATTGTGCACTTAACTTTTTTTGTACAAGTTTATGCTTTAATATAAGTTTGCTCAGTAAAAATCATATTATCTCATGAAGAACGAATATATAAAATATATCCTTGTTAAAACATTTATAAACTTGTAGCAATTTAAAATGTAATTATAACAAGCACTGTCTGTTACTTATATCTTGTATAACTAATAGAAATAGTGTTCACTTGAGTTGATGAATCCCACATCAGTAATGTGTTGGTTATCTCATGTTTTTTATCAGAACTATTGTATGTAAAAGCTTTCCATGTGGAGCACTTGCATAAATGTTTGTCGTATTGTAATAAATCATTTTTGTAAAGAATCATGGTTGTTTTGTACAATAAAAAACTTCAATTACCTTGTTGTTATTTAGCTAATGAAAATACTGTATATTTACAAAGCATTATTTCAAGCAAAATTAACTTCAGCGAGAATTATTCAAAACTTTTCCAACAGATTAGTGTAATTTATTAAAAGATTTGGTGCGAATATTAAGGAATAAATCTAATAACAGTTTGTACATAAAACACATCATCATAATATAAGAAAGTATTGTGAACCATAATGAATCAGTCTGATTTTAAGATATACAGCAATTTCTTTCCCAGTGTTCATGTGAGTCACCCTAGTGTATGTTGTCCACACAGTGGGTGAGATTGGTTATTGAAATAGTCGTCCTTGACAACTTAACCTAAACTTTTGCTGCTTCATTAGCCTTATGCCATACCATTAATGTAATGTCTTGCCAGTAGTCAATTTGTATTCTTTAGCCAGTTACTTAAAGCATTTACATGTGTATAGATTACATATTGCTACAGTATTATGAAAATATTTAAATTGCAGACAGAATTTTTACTTAAAACAGTGTAATAAAATATATGTCAGTTTTATGAAAGTGTAATACATTGAGCCTAATTCATGTTCCATGGTGTCCAAATTGTCAAGCGTTTCAATTGATGGAAAACATTAATATTTTATTTGGGATAAAAATCTAATTTCAAAGTACGTATGTCACATATATACAGAGACATTTTGAATTGAAATTAAGATATTTTCATTTAAAAAATCTGAAGGTTTTATAAATTCTGAGCTAGGGTGATTTTTCAAATTAAAATGCAAAATTCTTGATTTTGTAAATAAAATTTAGAATTATAAAAATACTTCAGATTCAGAAATTTAGAATATTTTATTCAGAATATTCAGAGTAATAATCTTTTTCAAAATTAATATTAAGAAAAGCTGATTGAGCTTGAAAAATTTCAATTATGGCAAGTGAGAAAAAAAAAGATATTAAGATGTCTTAGTCTTTTATCACTTGGCAAAATTACAGTAAGAATTTTATTAGTCTTACAATTCTTGAATTTCAGAGAGGAGTCTGAATTGAAAACAAACTGAATACTGGTTACAGTACCACTCTGAAAAAAATGTTAAAGTGGTGATCTCACCTCAGCATCTGATAGATTTCTTACTTCACTTTTTATACCTTTACTTTCCAGATATTCTTGCTCTCTCTTCGATTTCTTAGCTAATGCTGATTTCTTCACAGACTGTGACCCATGAATATAATACCAGTAATACTATATGAATTTGGGAGAATTTTGAATTGAAGAACTCTGAATTGGAGCGAAGTTAATAGTTATTCCACTGAAAGCTTAAAATATCAACAGAAATTAAGTGATTTGAATAAATTCTGAATATATATTTCTTTGATAAATGTACACCCAGTGATACAGCTTTAGAAACATGATTAAAATTGAGGGTTGGTTTAATTTTGCTGTTAATAATAGAAAAATGATCTTATTTACTGCTTTCTGTGGGCTAGTACTTAAATTTATTATATTATAAATTGAAGTTTATTTAAAAATGAGATAAGCAAATAGATTTTGGTTCAGGAAGTTGTATAGAGCAAATACAGTCACATCACTGACCTAGTTCAATCACCATGTCCAAATACTTTAGAACAAATTTGTTATACGTTTTGGGTGTCAGCTTCATTTCATTAATTTAAAAAGAAACTTAAGAGTTTGAATCTTTTGTACCATAATAATTCAGAAATGAATAGTTATTGACTTTAGAAAGAATCACAAATAAACTACTAGAAAAATCACTGTGCATGCTGAAGGAAATATGAAAAAATGTGCCTTACGTTTTGACGAACATTCATTTCAATTATAAATATGTACTACCATAGCAGAGAATATGCTTCCTTAATTTCCATTAAAGATCATTGGCATGTCTTTCAAATGATATAAATGCTGTAACTTATTAACAGAAAAATAATGTTTTATCACTAGACTGTTTTCATCGGTACATTATTGAACATGCTATATGATGAATTTTCATGACGTAATTATCAACTTTGTATTTAAATTTGTATAAATTGGTTAATAAATTATTATGTTTAGGGATTGTCTATAACCCTAGCTTTATGTAATGTCTGCAGCAAGATACACCAAAGTGCAATATTATGGTAAGAAAAAAGTTGATTAAGTTGTTATTCTGATGTGTGATTTACATTAATCTCTTAACATAAAGATTACTTAGCAGTTTGCAATATAAAATACATTTGTATTGTTTGCCTACTATAATTTTGCATGAATTTATTTTATGTACATATTTTAACACTTGTATTTTTTATACAAGTCTTTCAGGATCTTGTTATTTAACATCATGTTCACATAGTTTGCGTCAAGAGAAGCTTAAAAGGATTGTCATAAGGTCTTTCTAACTTTATAAGTTATTAACTGATTTATCTGAAAGTTTCCTCTTTTATAGAGCACTGTAAGAATGGCATTAATTCATTTGATCCCAAACTATCATTTTGATCAAAAAGATTGTTTGGGAGAATTATATGTACTTGTATATACATTTTCCTTTTAAATCCATCATCATATCTTTTAACATACCAGTCATCTCTCACCAAGGTAGGGTTACGCATAAAAGAAAACACACTAACCATCATTTATTCAGTAGCTATCTTGCTAGACATAATTCAAATGACTCTCAGGAGAGAAATACAATATCCTCACCTGTCCTTTGGTGTGTAGTCACTGTACTTTACACTTCCAAGACTCAAGTCTGACTTGCCATATAAAGTACAGGATTTTATTTTTAAGGAATTTTATTTAACTCTCCCTCCATCTCCCACCAAGTTAGGGTGACCCAAAAGAGAAGAAATGCTTTCACCATCATTCATTCAATCCAGGAGAACTCTGGCTAACTGGTGTCCCTGAATCCCTTCATATGTTACTGTGCTGACACTCCAAAAGTACATCAAATCATAAAAACCTCTTGCCTCCATCACTCCTATCTGACTTGCTCACACAAGCCTGTTGGATGTCCAAGGCCCCTATCACTCAAAACCTCCCTTACCCCTTTCAACCCTTCCTGGAATAATCCCTACCCATCCTTGCCTTTACCTCCATGTAACACCATAAGATATTATATAGAGGGGTAGTACCTATATGGAAGTGTTTACAAGTGTACTTGGTTAATTCTCACTTGAATCAGTTTCCCATATGTTTGTTTCTATTTCCACTTCCTATATTATACAGTAAATGTATATATAACACAGTAGTAATGTTCCTTAAAGTGCATTTTACCTGAATTTCTTGTCATGTGAACTGAAGAACCTATGGAAACTAAGTGTTTCAGTTTCTGTGTGATCTGTTAGAAGTATCCCTATATTCTAAATGCCCAGTCCACTGTGCTTCAGTGCACGTGATTAGAATAGCAGAGTGCGGCATAAGTTGATATTGCAGTTAAATATTAGCTTTGAAGATTTGCAGGGAATCAAGAGGCATCATATATTCTATTTAAAATCCTCTTCAAGGGGGGGCTCCTTGGCGTGGTGAAGAGGCTCTTGGTCTGAGGAATTAAACCTGTTGGTCTCCTTCCTCAGACTGAACCTAATTTCCCCCCACTTCCCCCTTCCCTATCCCATCCTCCCTTTTTCCTTTCCTCCTCCTCCTCCTCTTCCCCATCCCTCCCTTATTCCCTTCCTCTTTTTGGCCTTTGGGATTCTTCCCACAGGCACACTAGTTCCTAGGTAGGAGGAAGGGTACCGGGGTCCATCCCATTCCATTGAGGTTCTTGGCGGTGGTGTAGTTTGCCGTGGAATCTGGATCGCCTGGGGATGTCCCGATCCCTCTCTGGTCTCCCGGGGGGTGGCTTTGGGTGTCTTTCGGGCGACGGGTGTATCTCTGGAGGCCGCCTTTTGGACTCTGGGGGTGGTGGCCAAAGGAGGTATGCTTTGTGGCGGATATCCGGCCACCCTCTCTTTTGTCCACTGAGATAGCTCAGCAGATGTGAGGTTGCTATCCCGGATTGCTGGTTTACTGGCATGAAGGGTAGGGTATGGCATGGGTTCCACGCTGCATCTGCGCTACTTGCAGTGCCGAGGTCGTCTTGGGTGCGGAGGGAGATTTCCGGCCCTTTCATTCCTCCTTGGAACTATTCCTCCCTTTCTTTATTCTTTCTTAAAAACAAAAACAAAGAAGTAACCTAGCCGTGGAAGACCCAGTAAATGACCCAGCTACCCCCGGGCCCCTTCTTGATGCCGCACCCCGTTCTGACCCTGCCTCATTTTTTGACCACTCTTTGTACACTCCTGATGCCCCTGTACCTCTTGCTGGTGCTGTTTCATCAACTTTGGTCCCACTCCTAAACGCCAACGTCAATTGCCTGATGATGATACTTCGCCACCTTCTCGTTCTACTCAGAAAAGACCGACACGCCATGCACTCCCTTTCCACGCTCAGTTTCAGAATGCACAATGGACTAAATTCTTTACTTTACGGCCGACTTTCTCTATTGCCTATCTTTCCGACCATAGTATTGGCAAGGCACTCCTACGTCATATTGGTAGAGATATATCCTTTCATGCTTTCAAGAGCGGTACGCGCATCATCACTGTCCAGAATCTTACCGAAGCTCACGATCTTTCCCTTATTTCACATATCGATACTATTCCTGTCGCTATCGAAAAACATCATTCTCTCAATTTTTGTAGTGGTACTGTCATTCTACCCCATACCATAGTCCAACAGAATTTCCAGACATGTGGCAATGACATTCTCAAACAGCTGGAACTCTAAGATCTCCCAATCCTCAAAGTAGACACTTATTTCCTTCCTGCCCGTGGGCGGAGACGATACCCTTGCAATGTGGCTCGATTAACTTTCGACAGCCGTGAACTCCCATCCTCTATTTATGTAGCAGGACGTCAGTTACAAGTTCGAAAGGTGATCCCTACACCGCAACAGTGTAGAAATTGCTGGCAATTTGGTCACCCAGCGAAATATTGCAGATCTGTAGCCGAATGTCCAGTCTTTGGTGCTGATGACCATTCTAATCCGTCTTGTAGTCGACCTCCCTCTTGCCTTAATTGTCATGAGGCTCATCCTTTTTAGTCTCGCCGTTGCCAGGTCTACTTAAATGAGTGAGAAATCCATTGCCTCAAAGAGGCAGAAGGTCTCCTTTATGCTATGGCAGTTTCTCATCTATGCCTCCAAGGGAGACTACCCCGTATTTCTTATTCTCGTGTTTCTAAACGTCCCCCCCACTTCTGGGGTCCCGTCTTCTGCAACCTCCTCTGTGGTTGCCCATCCCATAGTCACTCCTGTCTCTAATTCTTTTGCTGTCCTCAGTCTGTTCTCACATCTTCGTGTTCTCCCTCACAAGCCCCGGTATCAACAAGACCTCGTACGACACCCCATCCCAATCGCCCCTCTATTTCTCAGAAGTCGAAAAAAATCCCCATTGCTCAAATCTCCTTTAACCCCTTCTTCCCTTCTTCCACCTCCACATTTTACCTTTCCAGTCTCTGTACCTATTTCTTTCCCGCTCACTGGCTCTGTTACAAGTGTGGAGGTTCACCCTCCTCCTGTGCCTTCCTCCCTTGTCCCCTCCCAAGTTTCTTCCTCTTCTGTCCCCTCCCACACTTCTTCTCCAGTTCCCTCCACCCTTTCGTCCCCCCCCCCTACTTTGGTACAGTCCATTACTGTCCCAATCTTTATTCACCCTCCTCCTTCCATCTCCAGTATTGTCTCCCATACAACGTCTTTGAATTTTGAAACTCTTGAAGCTATCTCAGAATATATTGCAGAGACTAGACCATCAATGGACACTGATCCGCCCCCTGTTCCATCTCCTTCCTCTCCTCCATCTGCGCAGTGCTCCATTCCTTCGCTATTTGAACGTTTTCCACTGCCGCTACATGTGGGCTTTTTCAAATCTCTCTAGCCCATAGGTACCCTTACCTGCGGATTTCTGGTATCTTTATCGTTACCAATCATGGCCTATTTACAGTGGAATATCCGCGGCCTCAGGGGTAATTGGGGTGAGCTTCAAATGTTGCTTTCCCGGTTTTCTCCTGTTGGTGTTTGCTTACAAGAACCAAAATTACACTCCGCTGTTGTCTATCCCATCTCAGGCTAAAAGGATGCTAAGAATACAGTAAATTTACTGTATTCTTCGGATCCTTTTTCTGATGGGACCTTTAATGAAGGTGCTCTTCTTCTACGCACTGATTCCGTACCATCAGCTATTTGTTCGTACTTCACTGCATTACACTGTAGTCCGTATCCACTTGCATAAGTGGTATACAATTTGTTCTTTGTATCTCCTCCTCGGGCATTATCTATCCCGGATGTTGCCTTTCTTGTTTCGTCCTTACCACCACCACTTCTGTTACTAGGCGATTTTAATGCTCATCATTTCCTCTGGGGGGGGCCTCAGTGATTCCCGTGGTATTCAGTTGGAGGCTTTTCTCGCTCTCAACCCCCCCCCCCCCCATGTTTTAAATACAGGTACTCCCACCCATTTTGATCCTCATACTCATACTCTCTCTTGCATTGATCTCTTGGTCTGCTTTTCCTCCACTGCACTAGACTTCACCTGGTCTGTTCTCCCAGACTTACATGACAGCGATCATTTTCCAATCAGTCTTACTTCTCCTTCATATTCACCACTGCTTTGTAGCCCACGATGACAATTTGATCAAGCAAATTGGGACCTATACTTGCAACTAACTGATTTTAGTGAGGTCCCTTCTTCGTCCTCCATTGATGAACTTTTACACCTCTTCTTGTCCTCAGTTTTAGCCGCAGCTTCTCATTCTATACCCCAAACCTCGGGCAGGCATTCTCAGAAGTGCGTGCATTGGTGGTCTCCTGCTTGTGCTCATGCAGTACGTTTGAAACGTGCTGCGTGGGGCAGGTACCGGAACAGTAGAACTACTGAGAGACTTCTTGATTTTAAACAGAAGCGTGCAGTCACTCGCCGTGTCATCTGCGATGCTTAACGCACTTGCTAGCGAGATTGTTTCCACCATCACCTCTGCTTCCTCTTTGAGTGCGGTGTGGAAAAAAGTACGGAAACTGAGCGGTAAATACTCTCCTGACC